TGAATGTTGGCATTGTTGTAGAGATATTCAAAATGGAGAAATGTTATGAGGTATGGAAAAGATCTTTGCATTGCATGTTACTTCAACTATCATTGTGCATTGTGAACTTAAATCAAAGAGACTTACATCATGAAGAAAAGTACTATTGTAATGAGAACTATGGAAATGTTTATGCGGTAAATACGGTGGTAAGTCCGGATAGGGGGTGTAGTTGAACTTGTTAAGTTGGCCTGAGTATCCTTGGTGAAAGACCAGAAAGGCGTGCGGATAGGTGTCGAGCCTTCCAGTTAATACTGGTAAAAATGACAGTTTGGTAGTACTCGTAGAGTCTACTTCCAGACACCAGCCTAGAGATTACCAGTGTCGTCTTTACCGCCCCTGTTGATTTAAATATTGGAAGTTTGAAATTGATGAGATTACAAAATATTATTGAGAATATGGTGATTTTGAAATAGTGCATTGAATATTATTGAGAACATGATGATTTTGAAATAGTGCATTGAAATAAAATTTTCCTTCATTATTGGCACTTGCATGGCATTACATATGCATTTCTTTTAACACGGATGGAATTGGCATAACTGTATATACTTTGTGAGGAATCTCTACTGGGCTTTATGCTCATCCCTATGGGATTTGGTGCAGGTAAAGATGTGGTGACCCCGCCAAGCTAAGGGCGTGGAAATGTTTTGAAGAAGAGTAGTTTAACTCTTATTTTGTGTGATTTTTTTTTTTTTTTTTGTAAGCCAAGGGCTAATGTGTTTGGGTCCAAGAGACCAATATGTGTAACCGAGCTATTGCCTTGGAACTTGTGAGCCCTTGAGGGCCTTATTCATTATGATTTAATGATTCCTCTTACATGCTATAGAATCATGTACTAGTGTGTAAACAAAGGTATAATGGCATGTGAGAATACTCTAGTAAACATTTGGAATTTGGTAAATGAAATTGGTTAATATCTCATTTTGGAAGTGGGTTGATGTAATAGTTATGTGGGGTTATTTTCGGGGCGTGACATTAAACCTCCAGCCATTCCTTTTATTAGTGATACTTGCAAGTGTAGAGGTTAAGCTGAGGCTTTAATAACTCTAGTGTGTTAAGCTGTTGAGTTGAGTATAGCACGATACTCAAGTAGAGTTACTTATGTGAGTGTGAAGTGGGGCTGCTTCTATAGGAATTGACAAGGCCTAATTCTTTAAATCGCTCACTGAACTAGGCTAATGTTCTAGGGCCAAACCGGACACCATAATGAGAACAAAACAATGGTTGGAGTAATACCTATGCGAGGTCTATTGTCTTGGTTTACATAAACGGCAGAATAGTTCAAGACTTCGTGTTCACTAGGCAGCCAGTAAATCCGATAGATTTCACTAGGAGGGGTTCAAAGCCAAAAACTACCTTTTCCGATGCAAGGGTTATTCCGTTGCACTCTCTCCGAGTCTTTGTTGTTAAGTGTTTTCCGTTTGTTGTTATTCGGTCAATTTTTATTCATGTAGGGAATTGTTGGAAAAATAATAGTTTTTTGGTGACTTTAATGTAATATTAAAGTGGGTGCCAGTCCTCAATTGAGGTATATTAAAGTGGGTTTAGATTCTTTATAATGAAATCTTTACACCATAAAAAGAATGACAAAAAACTATTAAGATTTGAATGAAAAATTGACTCATTAAGTTAGCCTCATAAAAGAGGTGTTGGAAAAGGTAATTGCAGAATTATACACATTACACATATGTATAAAATGGGTGTAACTCCTCTATAATGATGATGGATTAAAACCATCAATTGGGAGTTTTGCAAAATTAAGTCTTGCCATCAATTGGGAGTTTTGCAAAAAGTGGGTTTAGATTCTTGGTATTGAAATCTTTACACCACAAAAAGAATGACAAAAAATCACACCACAAAAAGAATGACAAAAAACTATTAAGATTTGAATGAGAAATCGGCTCATTAAGTTGGCCTCATGAAAGAGGTGTTGGAAAATGTGATTGCTGAATTATACACATTACTCATGTATATAAAATTGGTGTAACTCCTCTATAATGATGATGGATTAAAGCCATAAATTGAGAGTTTTGCAAAATTAAGTCTTGCCATCAATTGAGAGTTTTGCAATATTAAATCTCTTGCATTTGTTGCAAGAGTCTTTTCCTCTCTCCCTCCATGTGTATAAAAGGAGACCCTCTCCTTCATTCTTCAACACAAGAAATTTTTACTATCTTTGTGTGTTCAGAATTTTTCCTCCAAGTTTTATATTCTTCCTAGTAAGAGAGTGTCCCAAAGTTGTGTTCGCCGAAACTACTCAGTCGGTGCATTGCTATAGCTGGTCCAACCATCGTATCCTGGGAGACAGACGATGAACAACCTCTTGCACCTAACCGGTGAGGCAGTGAATCTATTTTTAGGACACTGTCAAGTTCAGGTTTCGGTTTATTTTCCTTTGCTAGTTTATTTTATGAGGTATTGTAATTTTCAGCATGATTAATTTGTTCTGAAATTTCATTTGTCCATTATGAATCTATTTGTTTTATGTTATCACACAAGATATACAACAATAGTGATGTTAACTAGTTATGATTATAAACATATAAAGTTACGTAAAACCCCCTCATTCTATAAAATGTCATTTTTGTAAAGTTAAAGGTAAAATAGTAATTTAATCTACAATCCTATAGGACAGGATTAGCAACTAATCTTGTAATTGGATGGACTGTTAGTCCCATTACATTTTTCTCAAGCAAATACGATTTTTATAGAACTTATAAATTGCTAATGCAATGCCATCTCTCTGAAACTCTAAACAAACTTGGCCTAAGATAAGAAAAGAGTAATGTTAGGCACACAAAAATATTGTGTAATTCAGTTTATACTATCGCACAAGTGTTGAATATAAACCATACACTATTTTTTTTCTTCTTTTTGTTGCTCTGAGTTCTTGGTAACTAACAATATTGAGAAAGATTTTTTTTTTTTTTTTTTTTTTTTTTTTTTTTTTTTTTTAACTAACAATATTGAGAAAGATTATTATTATTTTTTTTTTATTTTTTTATTTTTTTATTTTTTTTGGGTGTTGAGAAACAGGAAAAGAAAGCTTGAGACCCTAAAGTATAATTTTTAAATTGGATTATTTCATGCCAATTATTGTTTAGTTTAAAAATCAACTAAGACTTAACTTAAAATCATTAATGAATTTGAAAGTAATATTTTAAGGGAATTTACCATTTCTTGATTAATAAATATGACACTATTAAAATCAACAATAAGAAATATATGATTTGAGTAATTAATACTAACCCAAGATTTTTAAAATTAAAAATTAAATATCAAAATGAACCTCAAGTACCAGGACTTTAGACAATTGGGTCTTTTCCTAAGAAGATATTCTTTTGATTTGTTTGAAACTGTTAAGTTGTCTATGTTATTGAGTTGGCTCTGTGACGTAGAGATAATTGAACTATTAAATAAAGTCATAAGAAAATATTTTAAAAAATTTATTATTAAAGGTTTCAAAATTTAAAAAAATTAATAAAATAAGAAGACATCATGTTCATATTTAGGCCAAGTTTGGCATATACAAAATAATCCATATTTTTATCTTTTTTTATCACATCATCTCTCTACTTTTCTGCACATTTTTTCGTAAAAAGACAAAAAATATACTTATTTAGGTCATCCAAAACAACCTCTTAGCTTGAGGTTTCAAAAATCTTGGGCCGCAACTGTTGTGATGAAAGATAAGCTGTCAATTTCTTTCATTCTTTCCCTTTTTTTTTTATTTTTTTTTTGTCTTTTTCCATCTCTGAAGATGGTTTCTATGAAAGATAAGTTGTCAATTTCTTTTTTTTCTTTTTTTTTCATCTCTGAAGATGGTTTCTTCAACTCTATTATTTGTCACCCTCCCACTGTATTGTCAATTTAATAAGACCTCATATTGATATTTAGCTTGAGGTGTCAAAAATCTTGGGCTGCAACTTGTTGTGATGAAAGATAAGTTGTCAATTTCTTTCTTTCCTTCTTTCTTATTTATTTTTTTCTTTTTACATCTCTGAAGATGGTTTCTTCAATTCAATTATTTGTCACCCTCCCACTCTATTATCAATCTCAACTTATTAAATTGATTAAACAGTTTATTCTTGCATTTTGTCTTTTACAAATCTATATTTTAACACTATTAATTTAAAATTTTGTTCTCACTTCTTGATTTTTTTTTTATTTTTTTTTTATTTTTAGTCAATTCATTCTTACATATTTTACAAAAATTACAAACTCATAATTTCATTAAAAATGAAACGCAATCTTTAAAAAAACAAAATTCTTAAGAGATTTTCTGTAATAATACTAATCACTCTGTTTGGTTTTAAATTTTTAAAAACAAATTTTGAGGATTGTTTTGGGTATGACTTATAAGTTAATTTTTTTTACTTATTATGAAAAATTTACAGAAAGTAGTAGAGAGGCAAATTAATTGAAATAAGCCAATAAGAGTCTTTTATTTTTTGTGTTTTGTTATCTTTAGTGAACTTTTATTCGTATTTTAATTATTTTCTATATTTTATTTTTTAAATGCACCTAATCTAAATGTACCTGCTTAATATGTCAAATATTTATGAAGAAATCTAACAAAATGTCAATAAATGTAACAAATTACAAAAATGCACTAATTTTTTTTTTGTATGTAGTGAATTTTTTATAATAAAAAAATGACAATTTTTGTACATTTTAAATATATTTAGATTAAGTGAATTTAAAAAGTAAAAAAATAATTAAAATATTAAAAAAATCTAAAAATATCAAAATACTGATATTGAAAACTTGAAAATTATTTTTAAAAACTCATAAACCAAACAAAGTGAATAATAATAAAGATTATTATTATTTTCCCCTTTTTTTTGTGTGTGTTGGTGGGGTAGGGGAGGGCTTGCAAAGCCTTGAACCCAAGATCACACCAAGTAACTTATCCCCTCCCTTCTAAAATTTAAGGTATATATTGCTTTCCCATGGAAGATATTTTCTTCAGCTGCTTTTAGACTTTTCAGTTATTGTTGTTTATCCTCTTCTCCTAGAAAGGTCAAAGACACCAACCTCCCTCCACCATTCCTCCCAATTTCCCAAACCATCCATGACCAAAACCATCTTCTCTAAGCCACCCCCATCAATTATTTCTATAATAATGAATTTCACAACCCAAAAAACTTGCTTCTCTTCCATGGCTGCTCTCTTAATTGGGCATTCTTTCCATAGCAAAAACTACTCAATCCAACAACTCAAGAGCAAAAGCAAGAACTGCCCAACAACTCTCAATACTAGTATATCTTGCCAAAGCCGCTTACCGGTCGATCCGGAAACAGAGAAAGGCAAGGAGAAGGAGAAGATGCAGTTGTTGCCACAGGTTTTAGTGAGTGTTGGGAACTTTGGGAAGAGATTGAAGGACAATTTGAGTCCAAAGCAGAAGGGTGATTGGAAAGACTTGATGTTGATGAGTTTATCATTTGCTGTGTATATCTATATATCTCAGAGGATAGTTTGTACTTACTGTGCTTGGATGTCCATGATCAAGCAGCCATGGTAAGTAGCACAACTTCATCACCATTGAGACTCAAAGGGAAAGCTATCAACAATTGGAGATGGATCTTTAGATGATGTTTTCCTTGTTTGTAATTTTACTTTTTTGGGGGTGTAGATTTTGGGCTCTGTGATATTTTATATTGAAATAAATGTTTTATTTTTTGTGTAAGAATAATGCTATCCAAACTGAATAAATTCAAGAGTCGTAAGATCATTGACAATTGCTATACTGCATACATCATGCCCTCTTCAAACCTCGCTTTAGCAGAAACCCTAGGGCTTCTGTTTCAAATTGGAGGAATGAAAGATCATATTAGGAGTGATTTGTACACCCTTTCGGTTTTGCAGGATCTCTGGTTTCAATTGTTGTACCTCTTGCCTATGGTTTGATGACAACAAACCTGGATTTTTCAGAGTTCAATCTCTGTAATACGAGTCCAATATGACACTACTTTCGGAGAGGTCGCTGTTAGAAAAAAAGAAAAAAAAAAAAAAGAAAAAAAAAGAAAAAGAAAAAGAAAAAGATAAGAACAGAAAAGAAAAAGAAGTTTGATGACAACAAATCATATCTTTCCTCACATCCTACGTAGATGAAAATGAAATGGTATACTGGTGGATTAATGAAACATTTTCATCAAATTGGAACCATTACAAACCCAGTGGACACCAAAATGGTAGTAAAAAAGCATAGAGTAAGTAGATCTTGTAAATCCTAAAATGGTCATGTTGAGGATGGATAATACAAAAGCAGTTGATGGGCAAAACAACAATCAAAACAAAATGCAAAAAAACCTAGTGAGAGAGAGAGAGTGAGAGAGAGAGAGAGTCAATAATTCCTTGAAGGGTTCATTGTTCAGGTAAACATATCTAATCATGATTTAGGATGAACTCAAAGAAAAAGGTAGTGCCAAAGACAAAGTAGTTATAGAGTTCCATATGACATTAATCAAAAACAGTTGCACCTGCTTATCATCACAAATTGCTCCCTTAAAAATGAGTATCTGATTGAACAAATTTTAGTTTACTCCAAATGGTAACTCAGTCAGACTTGATCCTCTCACCACTGAAAACGCGATGGAACAACGCCAAAAACCATTGCCAAATCAGTATAAGCCAACTATTTCGCTTGGGTTTAGGTTCTGGTCTTGGTCCAAATAATCCTTTGTAGAGCTCTTTTTGCTTCTGATAAACGGCCTTGTCATGTTCAGCAAGCAAACGCAACTCCCTTGCAATCGCTTTGTCCTCGGGAGCAAATTTTCGTGCCTTGACAAAGTCTTCTCGGGCAGCATCTGTCTGCCCAAGCTCTGCTCTAGCTTTTCCTCGTCTAAATAGTGCTTTAACGTTGTTTTCATCCTCCATCAACACCTAGATTGTAACAGTGTACATAATCAAGGTGATGAGGGTTAATAATCCATCAAAAAGAAAAAGAAAAATTAAAATCAAAATGAGAGAGGGAGAGACCCTTTCAACTGTTTTGATGATAATTTCAAAGATAATATCTCTTGGATCTCTAGAAGCAGGCCAAAACTTCAATTTCTTTGGCCAAAAGGGACTTCTCATTTCTACTTACTTGTTATGGTCTAAGTCAAAGCACAGAAAAACAAACTGAAAAGTTCGCAAACAGCCAACATGCTATCTTTCAAAAAGTAACGGGTGGGGAATAATGACCAAAGTCATTCCCCCAAAGACAACACCGCCTAAAAAAAGAGAAGGAATATGGGGAAAAGCATAAATGAACAAATAAAATAAAAAGGACTTTGAACAATTTATCAAATTAGGTACTACAATGCACTAATTTCAATTCAGGTATCATCATCATAAAGACTATACGTAGATGCTTTCAGAAGCAAATAAAAGTAGCAAAACACAGTACATGGGGTAGAGGGATATACCAATGGGATCATGTCCAGGAGTGCAATAAGACTTAACTAATCAAAGTAGAGCTGAGGAGCAATAGCGAGCTAACATCGAGCAAGTGCTCTATGTTAAGCTAAACTTGGCCATGAAGAGAAAATACTACAAAATGTATGCATATCAGCACATATGCTTCCTTCAAAACTAACAAAGCTGGTAAAATTTTCTAGAGGCATCCAACTCAAAACCGATTGGCAATGGGTGGAATGGAGGGTCCCGTAGGCTATATCAACCAAACTTGAGTGGCTAAGATAAGTGAGGTAGGACAAGTCTCTGACATTCCAGCACATGGCCCAGTCTCATGTAGAGGTGAGAGAGAGATGAACAAGATAAAAGAGATAGACCCGGGTCTGACAAAATGGATCAGATTTGGACTGGATCTGACAAAATCCGAATCCAACCCAAATCGGCAATCTAGATCACCCGAATCCAAATCCGAATCCGAATCTGATCCCATCTGTTTAGTGTTTTTTTTTTTTTTTTGAGCTATAGTTTTAAACAGTTTGATAATTTGATTTTTTTTTTTCCCCCCAAACTGTGTTTCCTTCATGCAAGTTGCAGATTCTAGACATTATATTTGCAACCATAATGGATTAGAATTTGAGAAAGATCCATCACCAATATTATAACAATATGAATTAAACTAAAAAAATCATAAATATTTCATAAAGCCAGCCCGATTTATCATTGGAAATAATAAGTAGGGTAAAAATCCCTTAACCAAACATATGCACTTGAAAAAAAAAAAATGAAAGAACATAAATTCCAATTTAAAAAAAAAAAAACCACAGATAGTCAAAATTTTGGAAAGCTAGTATTCTAATCATCCTAAAAAAGTAGATCTTTATCTTTTAAATCAAATGCATGCAAAAAATCTATATATATATTTTTTATTTTAACTTTTTTTCATTTCACTTACTACAATTTTCACTTTTCAATATCTTTAGGCCCTTAGGTAGAGTTTGGATATTGCATTTGTAAATGAATTTATGGAGGTAAAAAATGAGAATGGAAAATAAACAAATTTTAACTTTTATTTCATTGAAAAAAATATAATTAAAAATTCATAATCAGATCGGATTGGGTTTTTGCATATCCGATCCGTTTATTATTAAACGGATTTAGATTTTCAAGTTGAATTTGAGAAAATCCAATCCATTGACAGGCCTAGTCTGAGACTTGACTTAACCCAGCTTTGATAGCATGTTGGAAATTTTGGAGGCATCCAACAAAAAATGAATTGGCAATGGGTGGAGTTAGGGCCAAGCTTGGGTGGCTTAGAGAAGCAATGAGGGACAAGTTTCTAACATAAGCAATTGATTGAACTCCATAGAGGAAAGCAAAGAAAGGAAGAAAATGAATATACTTCTGTTGTAACAGAACTGTTGCCTGTATGCTATACAAGCTCAAGGAAATAAACATTGAGTGAGCGAAAACGCAATTCAAGTGTAAAAGAAAAGGCAATAAAACCAAGAAACTGATACGTACAATGCTGCATTGATGGATTGCATCTTCATAGTGTTCGAGTTTTATCAGGCAGGCCGCCATGTTAAGGTGACAGGGATTCTTTACTGCCAAAGCCATATCTCTGTACTTACCGAACAACTGGAACATGAAGTCATCTCCCATATATGCTATGGCCTATGAAACATCCACAACATTAAGTTCAAAAACGGGAAAGAAAAATGTACAAACTCATGCCGATAGTGAATAATAGAACAAGAACATTCAAGAATACGAGCTTTTAACCATTTCATACTGTTGCATAGCCTCCTCCAATTTTTCTTCCTTGAACAAAGCATTTCCATCCATCTTTCTTCTATCAGCTACACCAATCCTCTCCTCTGCTGTCATGTCACCACGAGCTTTTCCCTACAAAAGTTATTATTGAAAAATGTTTGGATTATGAGAATCTTAATGAGGTCCAAAACATCATGTTTCAAGGATGAACACAAATTCATAAAAAATTCATTTGGGGAGAACTTACTTCTTTGGTTTCATCGAAACCAATGAGCTCAACTTCATATAAAATATCAGCCATGGGTGGAACATTTGGGAAAGAAAAGTTTCCTTCTTTCCCATAGCCTAGTTCCCAACCCACATGTAATAGAGCACGTTCACCAGATTTCATGTTGGACACACCAATGCTCAGTCCTGTCATTTCTTTCTTCTCTGTTGGAAACGAGCAATGGATGTTTAATATTTTGCCCAGAAGAATTTTTTAATTAAGAAACATGTGACCATTAAAGAGTTTTCACCAAAATGACATTAAAAATTCAAATTTGTTCCCAAAAGTGTCCACCAATAAACTTTTCACTAAGACCAATCACCATAGTATCAAAATTAGGAATAAATCATATCAATAGTACCAAATGCTCCATTGTCACTTCATCCATAAAAAGGAGAAAAGGATCTACAGAAATAACGATGTATGCAGAATCAGGAATGCTTGAGGATCACAGAAAGATTGGTACAGATAATTTTTTCAGTTAAACTGAGAAATTTTCCAAACAAGCATTAATTATGCAAATACCTTTTCCTAAGACCAACTCAATTGGTCGTTGTTCAAGCCATGTGTCTTCGAATTTGTGCTGGGTGCTTTCAGTCCATGCCCTATAGTGAACTGTCAAATGTTCACACACAAATAAGTTGGTGTTTCTTCATAAACCTCCAATGGGATGGAATACATCAAAATTCCTTCAGGAGGAGAATAAGATGTATTTTGCACAAAGAGTGTCAGTAAAATGGCTACTGATTACAAACATATTATATAAAATTTCAGTGCAAATTTTATTTATTTCTTTCCTGTTCCTGGTGTTTTCATTGCTCTCACTCTTTTTCTTTTTTTTCCCCCCAGTCTAATTAAAAAATGATCTCATCTCACAAAAGTAGATGCAACATTATCATGAATAAATTAAAAACTTACAATTATGGAAGGGAAACTTGAGTGCATTATACTCACTCAATTCAACGTATTTACAGTTTCAGTATAGAAGAAAAATGGCAAAAACAAACTCATTTATGGAAGAACTTGCTAGTGTAATCTAATCTAATATTTAATAGAAGACACTTCATAGCTTGGCAGGAAAGCTTGAATTTTACCATTTCATTGACATACAAACTTCACTTTCACCTGTAATAAGAGAAAATTAAAATTCCAAAGATGCATTATTAGCAAAGTTTTTAAAGGCGAATGCGTAGAGCGAAACATTTGACCACTCATGAAACAAGCCATAAGACTCAAGGCATCGAGGCTAAACATTTCAAATTCCAAATTTTTATATTTAGTAAATAAATAAAATAATTAAAAATAAAAGCATCGAACAATTCACTACAAAGAAGAAAGCTTGCCCTCATCGAAAGTGAAAGTGACATTCTTAGTTTCAATTATCGAGCTTCACACTTGAGGCTTAGCTTTGTGTTTTTTTCTTAGTTGGTCATTTACTTGATTTTTTTTTTTTTTCTTTCATTGAATATAATTGCAAAAAAGGACCCCCTTTATTTATTTTTAATGTTTAAACCATGTATTAAACTTGGTTGAACAACAACCCAAGACAAGCTCTCCATATGCGTACTCCCCATATGTTTGTGTGCAAAAATTGTACATGGTGCATGCCTCAGACTGTGATGCACAAGCCTTTGGGGAGTATTGCTTAAAAAATCAAAGTCTCGATGCGTTTTGCATTAGCCTCGCCAAGATGCGAGCCTTAATAAAGTCTTGTAAAACTTTGGTTATTATCACAAGAATTATCATTGCAAGAAGAGAATTTAAATTATGGATCAATGATGGAAGCCATAGATTTGATTTCAATTCATTAATTTTTTAAAACTAATTTACCAAATTTATTTTGTTCATAGAGTATTGTAGTTTAAAACTAATTTACCAAATTTATTTTGTTCACAGAGTATTGTAGCACATTATCATCATTAAAGAGTCTGACCAAAATCTTAGTACCATTTTTCTTAGTGCCATAAAATTCATTGAAAATCTTGCAATTAAATGGGACCCTTTAATTGGTTTTCTTGGTCTTGTCCAAGCCTAACCTTTGTACATCAGGATTATTATGTTTGGAATCTCAAAGGATAATTGTGTAAGGTGGTGAAAGAAACATTCCCACATTCAATGCTTGATGGTTGTTATCAGAAACCAAAAAGAACCAAAAAAATAAAAGATTAAAACCAAGACCTACAATGCAATGCCATTTTAGTACTAGATGGGGTTCAATCATAAATTTAAGGTTCTTTGGTTTTCTAGGCGTGTACAAAGTGCAAAGAAAGAGGGGGTGAATACCTTATAAGTACAAGAATTAGTTGCAAGATGGACTTACAAAAGCATGTCGAATATTTGGATGGCCTCTGACCATGGCCTTCCTTGATAATTTGCTTAGTGACTTTCTCATGAAGGACTTCCACTTCAGAATCAACTTTTGGGGGCCCATTACCATCATGAGGAAGTTCTCCATGCACAAATGAAGCACTTTCAGTAATGATTTCACCTTCTCCATCTTGACCTGGAAAAATTGAGAAAATTAATAGTTCCCAAGTATTTCTTCATAATACTGACACTAACATAAACTAAAAGTAAATTAGATAGCCAGTTTGGAGATACTTCACCAAGAAATCCAAAGGATAAAGAATTGTTCTTTCTCCTCTTGTTCTCCCCTTAACAACTTTTTGGGTTATTTGTAGGGATGGCAATTTGAAACCGACCCGACGGGTACCCGATCCCCCTACCCCGATTTGAATGGTTTTTTCCCGAAAAATATCCCCGACGGGACGGGGATGGTATTAAAAAATCAATCTCCAATCAATTTCAGGCCGGGGACGGTGATAAGTGTGCCGGCCCCGGCCCCGGCCCGGCCCGGCCCCCGTCCCGTTTGTCCCCAAAGTGGTACATATATATATTATATATATACTTTTTGATTAGTTTCTTTCTCTTATTCATTTCAAGTTTCTCTTTCTCATTCATTTCATCTACTTTTTGATTAGTTTCTCTCTCTGATTCATTCATTTCATCTACTTTTTTGGTTAGTTTCTCTGTCTCATTCATTTCATCTTTTCATTTCATATCTTCTCTCTCTCTCTCTCCCTCTCTCTCTCTCTTCCTCACCTCACCTCTGATCTCTCTTTCTTCCTTAGCTCTGATCTCTCTCTCTTCCTCACCATCTGGTCCGTCTCTCATCTCTCTCTCTCTCTCTCTCTCTCACTCAAAGAGAGAGAGAGAGAGCACGGAATCAGAGTCACCGCGATGCCACGATGCCAGAGCACCGAATCTGATCTCTCTCTGCCGCGATGCCAAAGTCAATCTGAGCAGATCTCTCTCTCTCTCTACTTAGATTTGAGCAGATCCCTTTCTCTCTCTCTACTCAGATTTCTCTCCCTCTCAGTGATGTTGATGATGTTGTTGTTGATGTTGGTCGATGATGTTGATGATGTTTGTTTTTTTTTTTTGATCGAATGTTGATGATGTTGAATGTTGCTACTGTTTTTTTTTTTTTTTTTGTTGGTCCGGGAAATTTTCGGGGTCGGGGAAATCCGATCCCCGTTAGGGGGCGAGGACGGGGACGGTGATAGGTTTCCCGTCGAGGATCGGGGCCGGGGACGGGGAAATGTTTACCATCGGGGATCGGGGACAGGGAGTGCGATCCCCAGCCCCGCCCTGCCCCGTTGCCATTCTTAGTTATTTGCACCCACTACAGACTTGTGATTACTCATCAGACACCAGCAATACCAATTATTCTCTTTGTTGTTTAATATGGAAACAAAAAGGAGAGGTAGAGAAGCAAAAGTATCTCTCAGAATAAAGCATAGAATCAAATGTAGCACTTATGCTGCGAATGCGCAATATCAAGTGTCAAAGTCAATTCAAACATTACAAAACAAATGAAAATCAAATTTCATTCATGTACTATAAGTCTGCAATACAATATGATGGTCCATTGTAGGAATTCATAACCCATAAGACCAGACAAAGATCCAGACCATATATGCGTGATCTCTCTGTAAGAGTTTCTAAATAATCTATATAGTGTGACCAGGAGTTGCGATCGATGAACCAGATGGTCGAAGAGTCTTCAAACCAGACGAAACCTTTGAGTCAGACGAAGAACCAGATGGAGCAAACCCACTATAGCGACTAGGGTTTCGATTCTGCAAGCTAGGGTTTCAAACCAGGCTTTGACACCATGTAAGAGTTTCTGAATAATCTATATATTCAACTTGTGTATATTTACAAAGAGTTCATGGGTTTATATAGCCTAAACCTAAGACTGAAAAAGGAAATACAAAGAGAAGGAAATTGCCTAATTCCTAATATACACAAGCATGCCATATATACAATATATATTCTCACTCTCCATCATACCACTATCACAATTAAATCACATATGTCTGTATGTAGAATCACAAATTTTCCTAACCATGTGCATCAACTTATGGTAAAACTTTTACAATCTTCAACTTTTAAATTTGTGATTTCGTCATGGATAAAAAATTCTAGATGAATACATGTCAAATTTTAGCTTTAACAAAAAACAAAAATATAAAAAAAAAAATAAAAGTGTAACAAAATCATATTAGTTGTAGCAATCGTTGTTGTGGATGGATAAAAATTGCAATAAAGAGGGTGACCTAGTGCATGAGGCTCCCGCTAAAGCAGGATCTGGGTTGGCGCAAGGTGTACGCAGCGTTACTCCCATATTTCTGGAGAGATTGTTTTCATGACTTGAACCCGCGCCAACACGGACACTAACGGCAGGCCTTAACATGGGCCAAGCCACCCTTTTAAAAAATGCAAAAAAAGGAAACCACTAATGACCATCTTGTATACAACTTGATCCTAATGAAAACCCTTTAATAAAATATTAATCTGCAACTAATGTGTGGCAGAAAAATGGTATACCGAGAAAATCATGGATTTAATGGATTCATATCTAGTATCTCATGCATCATACAGTACACGTGAAAAAACAATTGAAATACTGAGAACTGTTGTATTCTCTGTGTATCATGTTATGTGCATACAACATGCAGCTTAAATGAGCATTAGCAGTAATTTACTTGTAAGTTCCTGGAAACTTTCACAATAGAGACAGCCGCTTTCTTCTCAAAACAGAAGTATGCTGTTCTCCCTCTATTGTTTTGGCTCTCTATTTTCAAATTGCGAACTAAGAATGGATTCTCATTGACAAATTCATGTTGCAACATCTGTTGTGCAATCAAATGCAAATGCACATAAAGGATAAGGGAGCAAATAAAATGAAGTGATTATTATAGGTAAGGCAATAAATAAAATAAAAAAATATTCATAAGTTTATTAAGTATAGTATTTTTTCTTAAGGTTTGGAATTTGGAAAGTATTTATAAAAACATGGACAAAAATGACATTTTGTTCATCGTCTCTTGGACAAAAATGATATTTTGTTCATGCCATCCCTCCCAACCATTATTGCAGCCACTCGCTCTCCCACAACTATTGTTGCCTTCTTCTTCTTCGGCAACTACCACCTCCCTCTCTTCCCACAATCAAGGTCAACCCCCCACTTGTGTCAAATCGGTTTACAAAAAACCAGACATGATTAAAATCGTTATCAGAAAAACCCAGATATCACGATTCATCAATCATGTGCTAACTGCAATGTAATATGTTATCGAGAGCCCCCAATATCAATTGTTGAGCCTCACAGCCATTAGACCCATTAACTTTACTCGAATCAAGAAAAAGTGATGAAATTTTAACATGTTTGATATATCAAATTTGTTTTTTTTCTTTTCAAAATTACAAAATCTGTTCATTATTGTTTCTCAAATATATATCTATATATATATATATAATCTTATGTTGTAGATGATGATGGCAAGTCCTACTGTGTTCCCCTAAGAAGCACGGATAAGAATACGGATGCTGTCGCGGAAGCGGACAAGGACAAGGACATGGATATGGGACACAGCGATTTCGAAAATATGGAGAAACAAACACAGCGGTGACACAGCAATAAATATGTTTTCATATATTTTTATTTGCTATCTAGATTAATTACATCCATAAATAATCAATATTAACAAAAACTAACTCTAATTTTTTTTATATTAAAAAAACTCTTTTAAATTAACACTTATAGTTTATATATATATATATATTTTTTTTTATGGATGATCTATTAAGTATTTAAATTTAAAAAGAATAATAAATATTCAACATTCATCAAAAATACTAAATAAAATGGGAGAAAAGACAACTTGACATGTCCCTAGTGTGTCCCCGAAGTGTCCCTAGTGTGTCCCTTGAAAATAAATTAATTAAATAAGAGGACATGCCATGTGGTGTATCCCATACGTGTCCCCGAAGTGTTTGTGTGTTTGACACGGATACAGCACTTGTTTTGAAGTATCGGTGCTTCATCTTTCTCAGCAATGTCAAACATGTAGCTTCTTACCCACATTAATCTTGCCATAAATAAGTAGGAAGGATAGATGCATCAAAGAAAGATACTTAATTGAGTTGCATATATCAGTTTGGTGGATGGGCTAAAGAGAGGTTTGATACCTTGATAGTTTTGTGAAAGATGTGAAGAAATTGCCAAATAAAGAGGGTGGTTGCTACGCCATTTTTTTAGTGATGAGAGGGCTGTGGCAGTCACAAGGGAGGGAGCGGTAGTGGCAGTCACAAGGGAGGGAGCGGTAGTGGCAGTCACAAGGACAAAAAAAGGGAGGTGAGTATGGTGGGAGAGGGATGACATCTATGATCAGAAATGTCAATTGTATCCCTGCTTTGACCAATCTATAAATAAGCTCATAATCTCAAAATTAAGGAAGAATTTTTTACACTTAAATGGATTTAGTTGTGAATAATTTAATATTTATTGAATTAACTCTAATAATGCCTAAAATGAAAGCAAGGAGCACTAGATGCTTATACCGAGCAGTGAACCCAAAAGGGAGAACCTTACACACTATTACCTTATATGCTATAATGCTAATGAGAAGCCTAGTCACTATGGCCCTAATTTGGTTTCAACTTTTGACTCATAGAAAGCACTCAAAGAAGAGTTGACAATGCTTTTTAAAATACTTTTAGAGGTGTAAATACAGTACATCATTACTCCTGAAGGGGAAAATTGTTTCAAATAATTACTAATGCTAAGATTAGTTGGGAATCAAATTCTGATACCTTAAATGACCAAATGCAAAGAGATGAATGAAACCCCCTATATTGAAATTGGTCTCTTGTTTGCCTAACTAGTGATTGGCTATTTGAGTACACAATACATATGCAAAACCAATGGGGTGGGTCAAAAGGCAAATATTTATGGCAGGCCCTCACAAAACCAACTGCCCCAGTGAGAGAATAATCTACACCATGATACCTTATAGTTGAATCTATAAAGTTGAGTTGAACAGTTGGGATTACAATGTGCTGTTTCTGGTCTTCCAATACTTAAATTAGTATCCTACTAGAGTTATGATACATCTCCACAATTTGTTATTGGAGCTGTGTCCATACAAGAATGAATTAACTACTGGGTGTACTTTCCATAATGAGAATCATATTATGACTCCAAACAATTAAACTTTGCTTTGTGCATGAAAATATAAGAATACCACCACTCCAAGGGGGGAAAAAAATAGAACTATACAATTTTACTATTACACGAATTACAGTGGAAATCAGAAGGTAGGACGTTTGGGTTTTGGGTTTAATATTATTTTCATTGAAGATAGTATACTCTTTTTTTTTTTCTTTTTCTTTTTTTTATCATTAAATCAGACTATGCAAAATTCTTCACCTAAGGACCCCATAATCGTACATGTTCTCACAAGAGAAGATGTTCAATTTGGACTGTAACTGATAGATTTATACGAAATACAAAGTTAAAAAATATTAAATTTTTGTATCAAATATTCGAGAATCAGATATATTACCTGATTGATTTTGCTGCTCCTGAACTTCCTCCATTTGTCAAATCAGAAACCAAACAGTCTTCTCAAATTCTAGCACACACCCAAATTCAAAATATCAAAAAATGATGAGGAAAACACATAGAAAGTATAGATTAAATACAAATCTTCACTCAACTCAGTTCATTTTAACAACTTAGCCCAGTTCTCCTTTCCTTTATTTTTATTTATTTATTTATTTTTGGGTACTGGCAATAAAACAACAAAGCCTAGTTGAGTTCATCTTTATTCAGTACCAAAAACAAAAGAAAGCAAAAGATTCAATAATTTTAGACTACTTGTTTAAATTTTCCCAGCTACCAAACAAAGCCAAAGAGGAAAAACGCATCAAAATTGAACAAAAGAAGCACACAATTAAACATCAGATAACTCCGTTTTGAGAGAGAGAGAGAGAGAGATGACATTTACCAAAAGAAGAATCTGGGGCGTAGTGGCTTGATTGGATCTTCTAGAGCTATAATTTTACTTTTGCTATGATCAAAGAAGACTCGAGAGAGAGAAAGAGAGAGAGAGAGAGTGTAGATCAGCTGTATTTGTATTCGAAGACTAGATTAGATACATCTTTTATGCTCTCATAAATAATAATAATGGCAAATTACAAATATACAGAGATTTGACATTTGTTAAATGATAAGAGCAATTTTATATTTATTGAATTTTGACTCATCCAAATCGTTTGGCAATTTTATATTTATTGTTTAAATTATAAGAGCAATTTTATATTTATTGAATTTTGACTCATTCAAATCGTTTGCATACTAGTTATTCGGCCAGTTAATCAAAAATAAAAATGACAATTAGGTTTCACAAGAGTTGTATCAGACGACCGAACTTATAAAATTCAAACGATTGGGGTGAACTTAAATTTGGTATATCAATTATTTTTAAAAATATAAATTTGTTTTTTAATTTTAAAAATTACATCTCGTCTTTTTAGATTTTTAATCGCTTAATAAATAACTTATTTTTATTAATATATCATTAAGTCAATTAATAATTTTAATAATTTTATTGTAGAAGAGTAGTTAAAAGTTTTTTTTTAATTAATTATGTTAAATAAATAATTGTGACAATAGAATATTTATAATTTTCAAAATTATAAAAAATAATTTGTATTTTTAAACAAATCTTAAGACTCAGTTCAGTTAGGATAAAATTGGTAGAAAGTAAAAGAAAAGAAATGAAAAAAAATAAAATTTTTCTAAATTTGTTTAGCATGAAAGTGGTAGAAATTACAACAAAATTAATTTTCTTGTACAACTCAAAATAGCATGATAATTAAGCTTTCAGTTTCTTATAAAATTTTCATCTTAACTTTTTTTTGTTTTTTTCTTTCACTTTATTTTCTACCATTTTCACTTTTCATAATTTCTTTCTTTCTAATCAAACGGAGCCTAGGGATAAATTTATAAATTATCCTAATATAATAATAAAATTTGAATTGGATAATATAATAATAAAATTGTGAATGTGGTATCTGTAATGGTGTATATGTAGGCAGCTATCATGGAAAAGAGTTAAAAGAGACTTCCAATGCGTATCGAAAGAAAAGTAGAAATGGGTTGCCTGTTGTACTTCTCGCACATGGGCTTATTTTATTTTAATAATTTGAATTGTTTATGTTGTATATATAAATTTGTTGTCTGTAAAATAAAGACAAAAAAATAGAATAACAAATATAAAATCATTGATTTAAAATAAAAACGAGTACAATTTATGATGAAATTTCTAATCAAAGAAAATAATCCTTTGATTTTTCTCTTCAAGGACAACAAAATCTCCTCCAAGTAACGCAAATTTGTAAGATTTTGACTTGAGGGCTTGATAGCTTTTTTCAAATCATATTGTAAAATCCTCTCCAATTTAATAGAAGACGACAGTAGATTTGCAGAATTAGATGATGAAGTTTGATTTGAATCTCCAAACTTTATATTTTATGGAGATTGATGGGTTTCGGCGAAAAGACCTTCGGGACTTTAGGCTTGAATCCGATGGAGGTTTTTCTTGCTTGATGCAAATTTTTGTCTCTATTACTTGGTTTATGTAAATTCTGGTAAACATCACCCCTATTTATAGGAATGGATGGAGAAGAGTCTTAACAGACTTGAACTTCTTTGATAATTATCTCTGATTTATTTAGAGATAAATACCAAATTATCACTTTAATGGTATGCCGTAATTTTATTGGCTTGACCACCTCAATGTGACAAGTGACTTAATTTGATTAGTCGAAAACTTAGTTGTTGTATCACTATGACTTAATTTGATTAGTCAAAGACTTACTGCATTATTTTAACACATGGCAATATTTAATTTGACCACCGTGTAATCTTGATTTGAGACCAATTAGACACATGGCAAGATTTAATTTGCCAATAATTGTGCCATATTTTGTAGGCCTTTGTAGTACGTGGCATTTATAATTGGCTAAAATTTTAGACTTGCTTGCGTACACGTTCCAGAAATGTTAAAAGTGAGCGGGTCTCGGAACTTGACTTCTTGGGGTTTGTTAGATGATTTAGCAGCAACTTCTTGGGTCTTGATTTTAGATCACCGTTTCAGAACCTCATAACTTGTTGAATTTTTTTATTTGATTGGGTTGACTGAACTTAGAACATGATTTCAAGTTGCCTACATACCCCAGAAGGATCAAGCCAAATGTAGTTCAATTTTGTGTCATTCACAGTTTCAACTCATGTGGACAAAGAGTTGCACACAGTTTAGGCTCTTGCGTTAAGGAGCGTTGTAGAAGCTTCAATTTTAGGAAGACGACAGAAAGTTTAGGCTCGTATCTAGGAGTTTTGAATATGATGTATTTTGAAGATCAACTTGTTGATTTGGTGGAGTTATGAAGTCTAAAGGCGTAACACTCATTGTAGCTACATATGACATTGTTTCAACTTCATTTTGCAGTTCTTTAATTGGGATTTCGTCTTCTCCATAGATTGAAATGCTAAGCTACATATTGCGAGCTCATGTGGCCAACTCTTTAGACATCTTTGGTTTTATGCCTTGAAAGATGTAGTGAAGTCTCTAATTCATTCATTGGATGCATATATCAATAGTAGAAATTTCAGACAGACGATCCTTACAATTGATGCTAAGGCTTCTCCATCTATTAATGTAGTCGATGATTGATTTTTCTTCTTGCTGGCAAGTATTGTTGAACTCGATCATGCTTACAGTACGTCGACTACTATAAAAGCAACTGAGGAACTCCATCTCAAATTGCTCAGTTGTCTATGGAATTTGGCTCAAGCTCTGTGTACCAGTCGAAAGCATAGTCGTTCAAGGAACACATGAATTTCTTGACCAACAAATCTCCTTTAGTTCCAGTACTATTGCACGTCTCCGCGAAGTCCGCAACATGTTTGTTTGGGTCACCTTTACCGTCGAATTGTTGAAATTTTGGAGGTTGATAGTTTTCTAGCATCTTTAGTAGTTTTATCCTCTGCGAATATGGCTTTGTGTAAGACCGAAGAGCTTGAGATCTCCCCATGATGAGATCTTTCAACTGTTTGGCATGAATTAATCTGTCGGCAAATACTTGAATATCTTTACTTGAAACCTTTTATTTTCATGAGGTTTCTTATAGAGTAGTTTGCTAATTCTAGGGTGGATCCAAGAAGGTTTGTCGTGCCATAGGTTGGTTTTTTCTTAAGCTTGTTCAAAAGCTTTGTAAGTTGAGTCATTTGTTCTTGATTGCTCTTTGCAAGCGTCTCAACAGCTTTGGCCAATGCTACAATTTGTTCTTTAAGGGATGATGAGTGCACCATCATGACCAACATGACATCGTTGTCTCTATCAAAGTCGATATGCTTCATAGGCTTTCCAAGCATAGATCGCAAACTCTTAAAAGAAATTGAAAATATAGAACCTTTGCTTGTCATAGACTCTTGAGAGATGGTTGGATGTGTTGACACTGTTCAACCATAGAAGAAACGTCCTCCTTTGTCCCCATTGAAGTTGAGAAGGTCGTTGGTTTGTTGGACAACATGTTGAATAATATGTGTAGACTTCAAAGTTGATTTGTAGAGAGAAGAGATGAGAGGTAGAGATTGTCCTACCGTGCATGTCAAAATTTGTATACACAAATTTCTTGTTTGAAAAATAAAGACAGAAAAATAAAGTAACAAATATAAAATTATTGATTGAAAATAGAAAGTACAATCTCTGATGAAATTAATAATCAAAGAAAATAATAATTTAATTCTTCTCTTCAAAAAGTTGACTCGAGGGCTTGATAGCTTGTTCCCGGAACGAACGGCAAAATCTCCTGTAAGTAGCGTGAAGAAGATGGAGAATTTGTAGGATTTTGACTTGAGGGTTGTAGCATTTTGAAGATTTTCTTCATCGTTCAAGTGATGGATTGGTCGCTCGAGTGGTCTAGCATGTTATCCAGTACTTTTGCAGGTTAGTGATTCTGGTTGCTGCTGAAGTTCGCTCGAGCGCAAGATTGGTCACTTAAGCGGTCTATCTTGTTTGGTCTGAACTTTTGAGAGTTCGCATTCTTCACTCGAGCGACAATTTCACCGCTCAAGTGGTCTGTTCGAATTTAGCATCTTTAAAAAAGGCATTTTAGTCCACTTTTCTCTATTCTTTTCTCTCTCCTCTTCTTCTTTTCCACTGTTTTTGTGGGTTTCAAGCTTTTTGTAATGCCCCAACTTTTATTATTCGGATAATGTTACCTTTTTCCTTTAAATCAGTCCATTTCAATAATAATAAACATCAAAGATATTTAGGAAGAAATAAATTACAATGTTCTCTCTTGTGTACATGTAATGAAATACAATACATGCCCATAGGCGTTACGTCATCAAATTACAAAATAACAAAATATATAAAAGGGATTAACTCTTTTTACAACACATTGGCATTTCGCCTGCATTTAAAAGGCCCTACGGCCAACAATTAACAGACTTCACGTCTTGAGCAACTCTTCACTCTATACCTGAAAATTGATTAACAACGTGGGATGAACACGAAGGTCCAGTAGGAATCCCAATAATCCTAAACAATAGCAACATATAGATAGTTATGATCATGAATGCTCCACATATATATATATATATATATATAGGATATGTGACATTTCATATTTCAAAATATACTTACATAAATACAATTTTCCAAAAGATCCTCTTTAACATAATAAGAAACAAAGACCAGTTTACCTTTCAAAACTTTTCATTTGCATTTAAAGAAATCTCAACCATTTATCACATTACCAAGATCTCCTAAGATCGATCTAAACAATATACTCGTCCTACATTCCAACTCATTACGGCTACAAGGACAAATACTATATATTGTGGCCTTAAGCATAAGTGTAAAATGAATGTTCACAAATATATATATATATATAATAAAGTAGGAGGGTTTTTCAAAATTTGTCAAAATGTATTAGAGATACATTTCATTTGAATGGCTGAGATGATTACTAATCAACATCTAATGGTTGATATCAATTGTTTTCCCGCCCAAACACTCTCTGCTCTCTCTCTCTCTCTCTCCCATGTTTGCCCAAACACGTGTCTTCAACCCCCTCTCTACTCTCACGTTCT